TCATCCTATGAGTGTCACCTCTAAACCCTTCAGCTCACTGCCTAAGATCTTCTCGATATTCCTGCAAATGACTGTTGAGTCTTTTCCATTGTTTTCCTGGTTACTCACCCTTTCTTCTAACACTGGTGTCTCTTTCTCCTTTTTATAAAAGGCTATGTCTCTGCATGACTAAATACACACGCAGATATCCTTCCTTCTGTATGAGTAAGTTACTTCAAAATTAGAAAGAAATAAAAGCGGTCGAGACATTTTTATTAAAATGGGAATGTAGTACCCACTTAATCTGCACATACAGGCATTGAAAACATTGGTTGTTTTTTTCTGCCCTATGCCCTTAAAGAACTGTTCTTCACGAAAATACCTGAACTGTTATTTTATCTCAGGGGAAAACAACACAAATGTTCCCTTCAGATACATGAACCATACACAAAACCATTAAATAAATGTAACTTACTAAACAGTTAATTAAATATGATGAACCCAGTCATACTCCCCATGTAACAGCACCATCAGCAAAACTACCATTAACATATACATCAATAAATAATTGGTTTTGCTGCTTCTTCAGTTTCTTTGCACTAATGAGTGGTTGGGAATCTTAACCCTATCTTGCTCTCTCTTTAACATAATCTCTTTGTTTTCTTTTAAAATGCCCATTATCCATTATGCTTGTACACCTGTACACTGTTCCTGCTGGCAATCCACTCCACTGTGTAACTTAAAGTGTACACTAGACCAGACAAGTTGCTGTGCTTTTTTAGGGAAGATATGTTATGTGAAGAGAAGGCACCTCAGCAGTGCCCGAGGCTCAGAAATTAAAGAATATTTTCTAATTTGCTCACATGCTGATCCATGCAAGTACCTCAATCCAGGTCCCAGGACTTTACATTATGTCCTTTACTACTGGGTCTCAAAATTAAATTCCATCCACACAGTTCCTCCATTTCAGCATAAGTAAGTTACATTAAAAAGCAAACAAGCAAACGAAAACAAAACAACCACTAACTTGTGCTTACCTAACTTTTTAACCATCTTTTTTGCTTTCATGTATTTGGTGCGTTAGAAATGTCCTTCTCCCATTCTTTGTTTTCCTGTGAACCCTATATAACCTTCAATGCTCACTCAAATATTATATTTATGATGATTTATGACCGCATAGTCACTGCCTCATGGTCCTCTAGAAATTGGATCAAACTTCTAGTGTTTATCCCCTCCAATGGCATGGATGATTTGTTAGTCAACCTTATTTAGCAATAAACTATAAAGAATACTGTATTCCTATTGGACACCGCTATAATGGAGTTACTACCAGCTTGATGGTGTAAAACCAAAGAAATATACTCTCTCACAGTCTGGGTGCCAGAAGTCTAAAATCAAGGTGTCAGCAGGGCCATGTTCTCTCTGGAAGGTTTCATGCTGTGTCATGCTTTTTCCAGCTGGTGGCTGTCATCTTTCTTTGACTTACATCTGATTAGTCTAACATCAGCCAACATGGACACATCTCTGGGTATCTCCTCTTCTCTCTGTATTAACACTGCTTCTGCTTCTTTCTTATAAGAATGCATGTGACTTATCCATTTGTCCGTTGAAGGGCATCTTGGTTCTTTCCACAGTTTGGCGACCATGGCCATTGCTGCTATAAACATTGGGGTACAGAAGGGGTGGGGGGTAGGAGGTTGGGGGAACAAGGTGGTGGGTATTAGGGAGGGCGTGTATTGCATGGAGCACTGGGTGTGGTGCAAAAACAATGAATATGTTACGCTGAAAAGAAAAAAAAAAAAAAAAGAATGCATGTGACTGAATTCAGGACCCACCTGCCTAATCCAAGATAATGTCCTCATCTAAAAGTTCTTAAAAATAATCACTTTTTTTTTTTGGCCATGTAAGGTAATATTCATAGGTTCTAAGAATTAGGTCCTGATATCCTGGGGGACATTTTTAAATCTACCATAGAGATGGTCCGTATTTGGATCATTCTCACATTGTTAAGTACCTAACTAATATTTCTGTCATGTAGTTGGCGCACATACCTATATTTAAATTGAATTGACTTGGGCTTTCTTTCAATACTAAACATTACTTGGTCAGCACTGACTTACGCTTCAAACTAAACATTTTAAAGCAAGTAATGGAGGAGTTTAGGGAGAAAGTAAAACATTGTTAAGACAGTGATGTCATATATCCTGTCTATTAACTTATTCTCCTCTATGACCTTTTGAGATAAATATTGTTATCACCAAATAATACGCGAGTAAGGAGGTTTAGGAAGGTTAAGTGACTTTTCCTACTATCCCTAAGGTCAGGTCTTGACTAAAATCCAAATTTTTTTCTAACTCAAACCTCATTATTCCTCAGTAAAATCATAATGCCTTAAAAGTAAATATTAAGAATAAAATAAAGTACTCCTCAGGATGACTTATATAATAGCATAAATTACAAAATGAAGTGTCCTTGATCATTAAAATGTCACACTTGATTTAAGATGAAAAAGCTGACAGTTCTCTTTCCTTGCATTTGTTAATGATAAATGTCAACTTTAAGCAATGACTACCTAGAAATAAATTGTTATAAGCTCTCCCATTTGTTTTGCTGATGCTCTATATAAATGAGTATTGAGGAAAAGAGTTTTGTTTATTCCTTTATTTATTATAGCTTAAGTGTTGCAAAACATTGCGAGCTGCACAATCCTACTGCCAACAAATAATGAATAATTATCTAGTACTGGGGTTCTAAATAAGACCCATACCAACAAACAGATGTCAGTAGGATTTTGGCTCCAGGTTTTTGCCTGCAGGAAGTCATTAAAAGATAAGTGGAAAATCAAGTCTGTTCCCTTGGTAGCAGAATTTTTACCCTTTGGAGCCATACAGGGAGGCTTATTTTCGGACAGCAGCAATAGCTCCTACATTAGATGGTAATCACTCTTGTATTTATAGACTCCTTGTAAATCAATCCCAGACAGGCAATGAAATGATCTTCTCTGTATTTACTTTTAGGCTATTTAAAAAAAAATAGTTCTGAACAAACTGAATCTATTTTAAACAATCCTACCCCTCAGTAAATTTCATAGTTCAGCCGTATAAAATCATATTGTGGTCTATTTGTGTTCTCTTAATGACTTTCCACTCTCTGGAAAGTAGCATTGTATTCCAGCTGTGCGAACACTGAAATTTGTATTCCAAATGGTTGATGCTTAGGAAGAAAGTCGTGATTGAAACCAGGTGCAGATCATTATGCTTAATACTTAGTGTTTTTCCTCCTCGTTCTTACATCTTAGCCTCCTAATGATTCTACAACTTACTTTTCCAACTCACAAGTTTGCAGGGACCTAAATGTCTTAAAGAAGAAGTTACTCAGTAATAAGAAAGGTTTTTTCCTCAAAAAAAAAAAAAAAAAAAGTTTTAAACTTCAGGTATTCATTAGAGAATATTTTTTTCATTAATACATATTTTTAAGTCATGACAATGAACCACTGAAAGAGTGTAGGGTAATGAATACTCAGTGATTTTTGTATATCAGCAAGGAGCATACTACAATGTGAAAAAGTAGATTTTGCTTTAGAAAAGATCAAGAAGTATATATTAATTCCATGTACAATAATTAGCAGGGCATCAAGAATTTCTAGAACTATGATGGCACCAACTTGCTAGTAATTAAAACGATGTACTTGGGCTTCACAATTTTTGTTCAAAAGAAATGAGTGAACTGTTCCTTGAAAGTCGTGAAATGTCAAGCCTATTTTAATATACTCTTGAATTACTCAAATGTCTAAAAAAGTAGGAACAAAATAATAACGCTTTATTTTTATGTTATTTTAACCTATGCAACTTAACACTCAGCCTAAATTGCAATGTGACATACAAATCATGTTGGTAATGTATGGTAGAAATCAGAAATGTAAATAATAGGTACAATCTGAGAGCATTTATAGATAATCCTTTGCAATTTAAACAGAAATAAAAAGATTAAAAAAATCTTTTTTAGCATGAGAAAGTTCACGCTTTTAGCTGTTACCTCCTGCCTTTTTAGTTGTTTCAAATAGAAACAAATTTAAGGAAAAACCTACTTGAATTTCAATGGTTTCCTACTTTCAGTTTTATAGAAAAACAGGTGGGAAATCCTAGCAGACTATGCAATAGAGTAAAATCACTGCAGCATGAATCCCAAATTAGAGTTTAATGTCTCAATGGCTTCAATATTTATGTCACTGAAAAGTGCCTGCAGCAGGAGCTCCCCTTTGCGTTATGTTCTTTTCTATGGTGCTGATGCTCATGGATACTTTTAAAAAATGTCCTGACTGATAAATTGTTTGAGTACAAAGTTGTAATAGACAAACAACATCTTATTTCAATTTTCTTTTTCTTTTTTTGATAAGAGCAGAAGTAATCAGTACGATTGTGCCTTGTTATTAATAAGGATGCCCACAGATTTAAAAAAAAAAAAAAACGACAAACATTATTTAAATAGCAATTGTTCAGGTGTTTAATGATAACGTTAGATAAACTGCCCAAAAGCACATAGCTAAGTGGCTGATTTGGGGTGTAAATGCAGGCAGTCTAGCCACAGAATTTACTCTTTTAACCATAACATAAGGTCTTCATTAAAGTAACTGCCTCTTACCTGCTTGTTTCTATCAATTAACTTCTCTTGTGTTACAAATGACCTGTGGCAGGGGGTGACTGGGTGGCTCAGTTGGTTAAGCTTCTGCCTTAGGCTCAGGTCATGATCCCAGGGTCCTAGGATCCAGCCCCTGTTCAGCAGGAAGCCTGCTTCTCCCTCTCCTACCTGCTTGGGCTCTCTCTCTTTGGCTATCTCTGTCTCTCTCTCAAATAAATAAATAAAATCTTAAAAAAAAAAATGACCTGTAGCAGATCGACTCTGAGGTGTTTGTGATCTCATACAATCTCCTCCTGAGTGTAGGTAGGATCTGGGACTTGCTCCTATACAACAGAATATAGCAAGGGTGATGTGATGTCACTTCCTTGATTATGTTACATTATTTAAAACTCAGTTGTGCTAGCAGATTCGCTGAAGAGACTTTCCTTGCTTGGCTTAGTGAAGTAAGCAGTCCCAGTGAGACAGTCCACACTGCCAGCAACTTGGGATAACTTCTGGTAGCTGAGAGTGGCCTCCAACAGAGATTTAGAAGGAAGCTGAGCTTTCTGTCCTCCAACCACGGGGAAACAAATTCTGCCAACATTCTGAGTGTGTTTGAAAATACATTCTTCTCCAGACAAGCTTCTAGATGAAAACACAGCCTTATTAACACTTAATTACAACCTTGAGAGACCCCCAGCAGAGGACCCAACTAAGTCAGTATCACATTTAAAATATACCAGATCACATGTAAAGTTTTTTATATTGGGAAAGAGTGGTTGCAAACATTGGTTGAAATTCAAAAATGTAATGATCAGGTGGCTTTGTAGATCCTCAAGAATCTAACATTCTTACAAATTTGCAAGTGTCCACACGGACTGGAGCCTTTTAAAAATAGCAAAGGAAGCTCTACAGTTCTAGTTGTTGGACTTTTGGGCCTTATACTCACCTAATGCCTGTTTGAAGTGTCTTGGGAACAGGTGAAAGGGTTGGTTTGGCTGTGTATATTCATTGCAAGCTATTTAAAAAGTGTGGAGGAAGTGGATTGTTCAAGACCTCCTTATCAGAAGCAAGACTCTACACCAACAATGTTTCCTTTTGGAGAAGAGAGAAATGGAGGCAGAAAGACTGGGAGCCACTGCATTGCTTGCTGTTCCCAGTCACTCCAGTCTGACATTTTTTCTTCAATAATGATTGATAGTAAAAGGAGAAACCATATAAGTTTTTTTCCAGTTATGTTTGTAGCCAGTGATGAAAGATTCTAGGAGACTGCTATGGTCAATTATTCAACAAGAGGATATCATGTCTAAAGCTTTCAGGCCTCATAAATTGAACCCTGCATACTTTACTATTTGGAATGTACCAAATGATAAGAAATAAGCAAAAAGAAAAAAAATCACCACCCCCAACCACAAAAATGATCGTAAACACACAATAAGCTTCTAATGAGAAGGATGAACTTTTATTTTATTTTATTATTTATTTTATTTATACTTAAAGATTTTATTTATTTATTTATTTATTTGAAAGTGAGAGAGCACAAGCAGGGGGAGCGGGAGAGGGAGAAGCAAGCTCCTTGCTGACCAGGGGGTCAGATGTGGGGCTCCATCTTAGGACCCAGGAATCATGACCTGAGCCGAAGGCAGATGCTTGACTGACCGAGCCACCCAGAGGACCCAAATTTAAAAATGTATTTATTTATTTTAGAGAGAGAGAGAGAACCTGCATGTGTGCAGGGTAGGGGTAGAGGAAGAGAAAGTCTTAAGCAGACTATATGCTGAGCCTGGAGCCCAGTGTGGGGCTTGATCCCAGGACCCTGAGATCATATCTGAGCTGAAACCAAGAATCAGGAGTCTTAACTGACTATGCCACCCAGGGACCCCAAGAAGAATATAAATTTAAACAGAATATCCTGTAAGATTTTTTTACCCCCTAGGAATCTGAGGATTATTACATCTTAGTAGAAATACAAATGACTGAATTGTACATTGCAATAAGGATGGGTGCTATAAACAGGAATAAAGCAAAATGTTTGCAACTTAAGAAATCTTATGGCTCTTTGTTTGATGTCTATGGAGAAGCATTATATATAAACCAAAATATTGCATTAGTTTATGTTCCTGAAATAACTCTGAAAGTCAGAGTCTCTTAGCGGCCACTTGAAAAATGTGAAGTACAGTTGGGATTCTCTAAGAATGTCAGTGAAGAGTGCTATAGGATAAAGAACCACTCAGGTGTATATTTTTTAACACTGAAAAAAATCAAAAAAAGAATATTTCATGATACCTGACAACTATATGAAACTCAAATTTCAGTTTCCATAGACAAAGCTTTACTGGAACACAGCCATACATTTGGTTGAAGTATTTGTCAAAGTTGGTTTCAACAGCAAAACTGAGTAACTACTGAGCAGCAGACACTGCATGACCTACAAGGCAGAAAATATTTATTATCTGGCACTTTTTTAGAGAGTTTATGTGAGGTAACTAAAATAGTCCAATTCATAGACACATAAAGTAGAATAGAGGTTTCCAGGAGCTGAGGGAAGGAAGGAACAGAGAGGCAGTGTGTAGTGGGTATCGTGTTTTAGTTGGGGAAGATGAAAATTCCATCACTGAATGGTGATAATGGCAAACTAATCAGCGTGTACTTAATGCCACAGAACTGTACATTTAAAAGTTGTTAAATTGGTAAATTTTATACTATGTGTATTTACCACAGTAAAAAGCTATGAATTACAGTTTCTACCTGAGTGTGATCTTTACTATGCTTTATCCCGAGACCAATTGTCAGTTACTATTATGTCTTCTGTTCCAATGTTGAAGAAAATAGAAAAAAATTATGAATACAATCAAATTGTCACTAAATATTTTTTTGGTGTGCTGTGGACAAAATAAAAGCTGACAAGGGATAAACAACCATTTTTTTTTTTCAAAGTATATTCAATAGTATGTTTACAATTGAAGGGCAGGATGTATATGAAAGTTTTGAATAATAAATAGGGAAATGTCATAGTATGTTTCTCATTGGAAGGTGGGTGGGAAATTAAGGTTTTGAATGAAAAAAATGTATCATCACAACACTTATAAATTGGGCAAGACAGTTTCTATGCTTTACAGTGGCTTGCTTATCTGAACCAACTAACTTTATTAACACATAGAAGGCAATCTCCTCCCCTGTGGTTATCAAAAATGTTAACTGTATATGATTATGAAACTAATTGAGAATATGTATTTGTGCTAGAAAATCCAGCTCTTTAACAAAGACCCATTCTTGTCAATTTCCTCAAATGGAACCCCAATTTTTTTACTGTATACATTACCCAGCTAAATACTAAATTTCCCATCTTTCCTTGAAGCTAGTTATGGTCATGTGATTCAGTATTGGCCAATAAGGTATAAGTGGAAAAACTGATGTGATTCTGGTAAGTCTCTTTAATGAAGAGGAGACAGACATTTCTTCCTCTCTTTCTCCTCTACTCATAAAGCAGACATCATGGCTGGAGCCAGAGCAGCCATGATGGAATTGTGGACAATGGCTGCATACCAAGATTGCTGGAGGAGAAATCTGGAAGAGCCCTGGTTCCCTCATATCAACATTTTGACTGGCACCTGTCAAACTTCTCTCACGTGGAGAGGAATCAAAGTTTGTCTTTTGAAGATATCACTATTATTTTGTTTCTATTTTTCTTAGCTGGGTCAAATTCTAAGAATTCCCTCTTTAAGAAGATCAGTGAAACCATACCACTGTCCTTTTCTAGCTCACCTTCAGTTTCTGTCAAAGAGATAAAATTTCTTTTGACATCACTTAGATTAACAGGAATGCATCCTTAGACAACTTTTAAACCATAAACACTCTCAGGCACTGACTGCTCAGATTAGACACTATGAATCTAAATCTCTGTGCTAATGTCTGCATAGGTACTTCCACACCACCATGTAAATATTCTAAGTCATAATATTTATACTAATCTATTTTCATAATTTTGACAAGAAGTGAAGCATAAATATTCATATGTTGCTACATTTATGTGGCCCCAGGGGTCTAATCCTTGTTTAGAAATAGAATTTTCTACAGCTTGGAAAAATTAATTTTTCATAGACATTCCTGGGTAAAAACAAAAACCAACTCAAAAATGAATCCTCTTTTTATGCATTTCTGCCTTAAAAAAATTAATACGAATGCATAGAAAATGGTATTGTATGGCTCTTGCTACAAGAGTTGACCCCTACTCTCCAGAATAATCTTAAAGAAAAGAACTGTGGATGTTAGAAAGGCCACCAAGACCCATGTGTTCAGACAAATTGTACTTTGAAGATTAATTAAGTTTTATTTATGATTTCAAAAATAGAAATAACAAAAGGAAATCTTCATTTGCTGAGAAGCATGGGATTATATGACTAATAATGACCATACATGTTGGAGGAGTATCACTAGTTTCTACAGCCATATGCTCTCCAGTGTTCCAGAAAGAACCAGGCAGGTGATGAAATATTTTGTGAGGGCAGGCCTGGAGCAGGATGTTTCTAAATATATTTCCAGTTTTAAAATAAATTATTATAAAACCTGTTGCATAAAAACCACAATGTTGTGTTAAAAAGCTTATTCAACTTGTGGAAGTAGAGCAACAATTTTTGTTGTTGTTGTTATATATTGAATAAGGTGCTTTGCAATTTATTTATTCATTTTTAAAAATTTTTTGGAACAGAAATGTGGAGGCAATTCTTAAATTTTCTTAAATTGCTACTCACATTGATAAAGATAATAGACTCTATTCACTAGAGGAAAATACAAGTTCTCATGTATATGAGATTTTTGAATAATGGTAATTTGTTTTTTTTCTTTCATCTTTAGGACATGAAGTTAAGGCTTCTGTGGTTATTTCTTTTATACAACTATATCATCATGTCACCCAAAATCGTTACTTTACCTCATCTCAAAGTGAAGCAGAAAAGTTATTTTTGTTTGAAAATGTGGCTGGCAGTTCTTGCCATTCCACATGGTAATTGCTAGGAAAAGGTAAAGGGCTCACTGGATATCATGCCCTCTTCATCCTATATGAACTAATACTGTGGGGAAAGATGTTTTGCTCAGTGTTAACTTGGATATTTGAGGTTATCATTATTGTTTATTTCCAAGGGAATTTTGTGTCTGTATTTTATGTAATTTTGACTACATATATATATTTTAAAGATTTTATTTATATTTATTTATTTGAGTGAGAGAAAGTGAGAGAGAGGACATGAGTAGGGGGAGGGAAAGAGGGAGAGAGAATCTCAAGCAGACTCATGCTCAGCAAGGAGCATGACACAGAGCTAGATCCCACAATCTGAGATCGTGACCTGAGCTGAAATCAAGAGTTGGATGCTTAACTGACTGACCCACCCAGGGGCCCCTGTAGTTTTGACTAAAGTAAGATGAGAATTCTATGATTAATTTTAAAAAATACCTTTTTTTATTTTAAGAAAAAGTACATCTTTATAAAGTCTGTAGTCATGTCCTTTTTTATATCAAAAGGAGATCAAATTTCTTTTAAAAGCTGTCAGTTGGAAGGAATCTTAGTCAACTTTCATGTTTACTTACTATGGGGTCCTGAGTACTAAAAACATATTTGTTGATTTATTGTGCTAGGGTTTACATTTTGA